GGAGGGGTTTCGAACCGGTAGTGACCCCCCCCGGTTTTCGAGCGGGAGGGGGGGAGGGGGGGAGGGGTTAGGGAAGGGGGTGGTTTTGCCGGGGGAAAGGGGGGGGGGGAAGGGGCGGGGAGAGGTGGTGCCAGCATAGGACGGTATTTAATGATCTTCGACCCATCCCGCCGGGTCGAACCCACCCCCGGGTTCCGGAGGAAAAGGTTGGCAATTTTCCACAGTAAAGCGGCGGTGGATCACGCTCTCTCACATATACATGTATATATATATATATATATGTATGTACATCTACATATACGTTTACATTGGCATGTGCACATACATGGACTTAGACGTAGACATATACATATACATAAACATATACATGTACGTACACATCTACATATTTATACAAGCATACGCATACACATACAAATATACTTGCACCTATATATATATAATAAACATATACATATACAAATATATGAAAAAATCAATACGTATGCATATACATATATCTATGTGTGTACAGATACCTATACATATAAACACACATATCGTTTTCGCGGAGGGCTCTCCAGAGCAACGCAAGAACATACTGGAGAACTTCCTGCTCCGATGACGGGCGCGCTTTGAGGTTCCCGGAAAACTCTCTGGGAAGCTGAAAACGCATCCGCGCGGGAACCCTCGTGGAGGATTATGTGAGCCTTTGATGGGCGTTCTGGGGCCGTTGGGTTTTGGAACCTTGTGGGCCTTCTTTACGGCCCTTGGCGTGTCCAAGCTCCTTTGGAGAGCCGCCTGTAGCGCTCTTAGGCGCTCTTAGGCGCCTCTTGGGCCAATTTGGCGCCGCCTTGGGGCGCGTTGGGGCCTTCGTTTACTCCTCGTGTGCCGTCTCCGAGCGTCGGGAAGCGGAGCAGGCGACCACTGGAAAACCACAAAAAAATGCTAATCAATGATGTTTGCCTATTGTGGCTCTGTCGGAAAGCAATGTATGTCCCTTCACTTGGGGAGCCACCTGGAACCGCTTGGGCGATTCTGGGCTCGTGGGCCGTCTTGGCGCCCGCTTGGGGTGTCTTGGAGCCCTGTTGGGCGCCGCTTGTGCCATCTCCGCGCATCGAGCAGCGAAGCAGGCGACCACATGAGAACCTTTGAAACACCCAAGGGAAATCAACGAAGTTTGCCCCTTGTCTCTCGGGGATCAGCTGGAAGCTCTCCTGGGGCGTCTTGCAGGCCGCGTGGGCCGTCTCGAAGCAATAGTCGGCGTGCCTGGAGCGCTGTGGTGCTATCTAAACCCCTTGAGGATCTCTTTTGGGTGCCATCTGGGCCCCATCGAGGGCCCGCGGGCGAGGCCCGCCGGACACCACATGACGAAAAGCGATGCAAAGCAAGACCAAGCAACGCACTGGAAAGCAACGCAAAGCGATAGGAAGCAAAGCAATGCAATGCAATGCAAGACAATCAAATGCACAGCAATGCCATACAATGCAGAGCAGCGCAAAGCAATGCAAAGCAATGCAGCGCAAAGCAATGCAAAGCAATGCAAAGCAACGCAAAGCAACGCCAAGCAACGCCATGCAAAGCAACGCATGGCAACGCAAATCAACGCAAAGCAACGCTATGCAGAGCAACGCAAAGCAACAAAAAGCAACGCAAAGCAACGCGAAGCAACGAAAAGCAACGAAAAGCAACGCAAAGCAACACAACGCAATGCAGTGCAATGCCAAGCAATGCAATGCAGAGCAATGCAGAGCAATGCACATCAAAGCAGGGCGAAGCAATGCAAAACAATGCAAAGCAATGCAAAGCAATGCAAAACAATGCAAAGCAAGGCAAAGCAACGCAATGCGACAACGCAACGGAATGCAAAGCCGCGCAGAGCCATGCAAAGCAATGTAAAGCAATGCAAAGCAATGCAAAGCAATGCACAGCAACGCAACACAAAACAAGGTAAAGTGAAGCAAGGTAAAGAAAGTCACAGCAACGCCAAGCAACGAACAGTAACGAAATGAAGATACATGCAAAGCAATGCAAATCAAGGGTAAACCCGAGCAAGCAAGCATTGTAACAGCGGCGACAAACGGCGACGGCGGCGACACCATTGCAGCCAGACCGACGCACAGGCCCAGACGACGGGCGGCGACGAGGCAGCGACGGGGCGGCGACGGCGACAACATAGCCGCCAAACCGACGCACAGGCCAGGACGACTGGCGGCGACGACACGGCGGCGACGGCGACAACATACCCGCCAGACCGCCCCGCAGGCCCAGCTCCTGTTTAATAATCATTATTTGTTCTTATATATATATATATATATCTATACATATATATACACATAAAGACAAAAATGGGGAAAAGGGAAAACAAACAAAAAAAACAATTAGCCTGGCGAAAGACCCAACCATATGCAGTTGTGAATACCGGAAATATGAATATCGTTTTCGGTGGCGCTACCTCTGGGACCACGAACCGTGTATGGGGCGTGCCGAAATGTGCGGCGGGGTCCACAACCCGAACGAAGACGACAGGTCTAAGTACGAAAGATTGAGCGCACGTGAGTCTCATTGCGAGTGAGTCTGAGTGTGAACGAGTCTGCGCGCGACGCAAGGGGGGGCCCGGCCCCGGACGCAAGGGTTCCCCCCTGCGCCTGGCCGCTGTCGTCCTCCTCAACTCCTGTTCCTCCTCTTCCTCGTCATCTGCGGGCCCCATAGGGAAGGGGGCTCCCGCCTCAGCCTTCCTAGCAAATCACTTACAAACGAATATCCCGCCTGAGACTTCCCCCATATTCAAGCCTCAGGAGCTCAAAAGTGACGACGGTTACAGGATTCCGACGGTCCGCTCGGATTAGTAACATGATCTGCGGGCCCAGGCCGCAGCCATTGGGGCCACGAAACGCTGTGCTGGGTGGGGGAGACGCATGCGGACACCGCCACTGGGGCCTTAGGTGGAGCTCCCTAGGAGGCCACGAAACGCTGTGTTGGGTGGGGGACGCATGTGGACACCTCAAATGCGACCTTCGGTGGAGCTCTCTATGGGGCCACGAAGCGCTGTCCTGGGTGGGGGAGACGCATGTTCACACCGTCACTGGGCCCTTCGGTGGAGCTCCCGATGGGGCCACGAAACGCTGTCCTGGGTGGGGGAACCGCATGCGAACACCCCGATTGAGGCCTTCGGTGGAGCTCCCTATGGGGCCACGAAACGCTGTCCTGGGCAGGGGAGACGAATGCGAACACCCCCACTGGGGCCTTCGGTGGAGCTCCCTATGGGGCTACGAAACGCTGCCCTGGGTGGGGGAACCGCATGCGGGCACCCCCATTGGGGCCTACGGTGGAGCTCCCTATGGGGCCACGAAACGCTGCCCTGGGTGGGGGAACCGCATGCGGGCACCCCCACTGGGGCCTTCGGTGGAGCTCCCTATGGGGCTACGAAACGCTGCCATGTGTGGGGGGAGACGCATTGGGACACCGCCACTGGGGCCTTCGGTGGAGCCTCCCTATGAGCTACGAACACGCTGCCGCTGGGTGGGGGAACCGCATGCGGGCACCCCCATGGGGCCTACGGTGGAAGCTCCCTATGGGCCACGAAAGCGCTGTCCTGGGTGAAGCGCTGTCCTGGGGTTGGGGGTCCGCATGGGGCGGGCACCAGACTGGGGCCTTCGGTGGAGCTCCCTATGGGGCTACGGAACGCTGCCCTGGGTGGAGGAACCGCACGCGGACACCCCCACTGGGGCCTTCGGTGGAGCTCCCTATGAGGCTACGAAGCGCTGCCCTGGGTGGGGGAGCCGCATGCGGGCACCCCCACTGGGGCCTTCGGTGGAGCTCCCTATGAGGCTACGAAACGCTGCCCTGGGTGGGGGAACCGCATGCGGGCACCCCCACTGGGGCCTTCGGTGGAGCTCCCTATGGGGCCACGAAGCGCTGCCCTGGGTGGGGGAATCGCATGCGGGCACCCCCACTGGAGCCTTCGGTGGAGCTCTCTATGGGGCCACGAAACGCTGCCCCGAGTGAGGGAATCGCATGCGAACACCCCCGCCCCCTTGCATGATGATGGAGATAAGGTTGACGATGGTGGTGATGATAACGTCGATGATGATGATGATGATGATGATGATGATGATGATGATGATGATGATGATGATGATGATGATGATGATGATGATGATGATGATGATGATGATGATGATGATGATGATGATGATGATGATGATGATGATGATGATGATGATGATGATGATGATGATGATGATGATGATGATGATGATGATGGATGATGATGATGATGTGTGATGGTGATGGTGATGGTGATGGTGATGGTGATGGTGATGGTGATGGTGATGGTGATGGTGATGATGATGATGATGATGGTGATCATGATGATGGTGATGATGGTGATGGTGATGATGAGGTTGATTATGACAACGAGGAAGTGCCGAGGGCAGAGGCAGGGATAGGAGTAGGGATGGGGGAGGATGCGGAGAGCAGAAGCAAGGAGGGGGAGGAAGGAGGAGGGGGGGTGGGGAGGAGGGGGGAGGAGGAGGAGAGGAAGGAAGGAAGGAAGGAACGCGGGGCGCTGTCACTTCAAAACGAGGACCCAACACCACAGGATGGTTGGGAAAAAAATGCTAGCACTGTTTGGGGAATCGATCAGATGCTCACGTCGGGCTCGCGCGAGACATGTCCCCACCTGCGGGAGGGGCTGGCGGGGCTGAGATACCACGGCCAAGTGGGAATGGGGATCGGTCAAACGAGGCTGAGGGATGGCCCTCGACAGCTGTGATTCGCATAACTGTCTGGGGTTAGCCCCGCATGCCCTATACCCTGGTATGGTTTTCAACGACACTTGAATGAAACACCACAGGATACCGACGACGACGACGACGAAGACGACGAAGGTGACGACGACGACGGCGGCGGCGGTAACGCCGGCGGCGGGGGCAGGGGCGGCGGCAGCGACGGCGGCGGCGGCGAAGCACAAGCAGAAGCAAGAGCACAAACGGGAGCAGAAGCAAACGCGGAGGGTCCTCGAGCGCCGCCAGCCGAGCGCACCGCCCCCACGAGGCCCGATCCTGCCGGGCCCCGGGGGCGGCCGCCGGCACGGACACAGCGGGCGCAGCGGGCGCAGCGGGCGCCGGGCTTGGCGGCGGTCCCGCCGCGGCCTCCCGGCGGGCCCCACCCGGAGGAGCAGCAGCAGCAGCAGAAGATCAGGAGATCCGCGTGAGACGGCACGTTCGTGTCGCGACGACCCTGGTTCTGGTGTCTGTTTTCGGACATATGTTCCACGTGTTCTGCAGAACGGCCTAACCCTGGTCTGCGTTCTCCTCTATAATCCTTCTCTCCTAGCTCAGGGGGTCTCTTCGAGAGGATACTGTGCATGATGTGTCCCTTCGCGGGGGGCGACAACATTGCGGCGGCGTTCGTAAAACAAGCGCATCTTTCGTCCTACGGACGGGGCGCGTCGCGCGTTCCGAAGTCGGTCTCGCCCACCACCTCCATCGAAGGATAAAATATCAGCCCTGAGCCAAGCACCCGCAGCGGCGGGCGGATGGGCAATGACACGACGCAGGCAGGATCGAATGTTACCGACTCCCCCCGCGTCAGGCCCCCGGGCAACCGAGCCCTCGCGCGCCGGCCTCCGGCGCACCACGTCCAGAAGCGCCAACGCAAAAAACAGCGTGACAACGCTCACCTTCTGCGCAGTGCTACCGTCCGCTGCAGAGGAAAGAACTCGGGTGCTCGACGGATCACAAATTCGGTTCGAAAGGCCCGCGGGGCACCCCAGGCGCTGATCGCTCAGACGGACCCGTGTCATCACGGCTCGCGACGACCTCGATATTACTCCAGTCGCCGCCAGTATACTTGTCTCCCTTTGTCAGAGTTCTTCTCGGCGTCGTAGCACCACAAAGACTAGCCACGCTCGTTCTTCTACATTCCAGACTCGCAGCTAGATTCGCCGCGCGCGCTCCCCGAGCTCCAATGACCACCGATCGCGCTGCCAGCTTGAGGGCACTTATTATATCCACTCGAAATCCAGTCGCCATAACAAGCGCTGCTGGTTATCGTGGTCTCGTCTGTACAATTTTCCGTTGCCCGATCTCCCAGCGGCCACTGGACTTGCAAGAACCTCCCGACCCTATTCCCCCATCTCTGTCCCGTTCGAGGCCCTGGCCCATGGTCTCGGCCGCTCTAGCGCCACCACTGCCGCCACGACCCCTTTTCTACGCAGGTCTCCGCCAGAGGAGACGAGGGCAGACCAGGCCTGCCAGCCGCGGATCCGGCCGCAGCAGGCTCTGAAACTCACTGTCATGGAAGCCCTTCACCACTGACATGGCCATCGCGTCGCGCGACACGCCTTGCCCATCTATTGCCTGGCCAATTTTGTCGCAGGCGTTTTCGGATGAACCAGCCACGCCACGCAACCGGCCCCTGCCGAGGATGTCAGGAACACGCCTCATGTAAATCACAACGGGGTGAAACGATGGCCTCGAGCCTTCCGGCGGGAGTGATAACCAAAGGCCCATCAGCGAGGCCTTTCCAACAGCACATTCGCAAGTCCATCTATCGTCGCACAGCTCCTGCACTTTAGCGGCGACATAGCCGCGAAACACTGGGTCGAACTGTCCATCACTGTACGTTGCGACAAGATCTGCGCGCATTCTCGAGACACCCAGGAAGACGTTGACGATCCTCCGCGAAGACCAACCTTCGTCGGCGCGGAGACAAGGCTCGTTCCTAGTCCTGTCAATCCAAGCCCGGTCCGACTCTGCTATATCCGCCCCGTTGGGGTGTTCTACCGCTGACAATGCCTCGGCGACGAACTTCATCTTCGCGGAGAGACTCATGCCCCCCTAAAACATGGCCACGGGCCATTCGGCGAGAGCGAAACCCACCCTTCCGGAGCCCGCGACGCACGCAGAACCCTCGAGTTCAGCATGATTGGGCGCGATTTTCAAAGCTTCGAGTACTGTCTTTCGAATTCCCCAAATTAGGCTTGCCTTAGGGGTTCTTACTTGGTCACAGATTGGTGTCTCGGGAGACTACTTTCCCCGTCCTCTGAGGTTCTCCTGGTCACTCGGGTACCTCGAATTCCTCGCACTCGGCGCCTCCGACTCTGACGTCCGTTGCTCGACGGCCCATCGGGTTCCCCAGGGTCCTCGAATTCTCCGGGTTCCCTGGGTTCCCCGGTTTTTTCATGGGTTCCCTGGTTTCCCCGATTCCCTCGGGCACCCTGGTTTCCCCGGTTTCCGCGGTCTCGTTCATTGCTCGGGTTCGCCGGGCACCCCGTTCCCTGCTCGGGTCCCCTGGATTCCCTGAACTTGTTCCTCGAGCTCCCCAGGCTCCCGTCTTGTTCCTTGCTGGGGTTCCCGGGGCCCCTGGGACTCGTTCGTCGGGCCCACTGGCGCTGCGCAGCAATGCCTAGACAAGAAGCGCCAAACATTGCAAAGCAATGCCAGTCCACGCAAAGCAATGCCACGCAACGCCAAGCAGCGCCAATCAACGCCTAGCAACGCAAGGCAACGCGAAGCAATGCCAAACAATGCGCCCAGGTAACAGGAAGTGTTCCCCAAATTGGGGTCGCACTGGGTTCATGATGTCCACTTTGGGGCCTCACTTCGGCAACAACCATGGCTGTTTCTCTACCCTTCCTGAGGACGCTCTATGTAATGGCAACCAGATTCGCTTCTTCGGTCAACATAAAGAACTTGTCGAAAGTCAGATCACTTTAACTTACGGCAGCCCACCATCCCAATATTTGAGAGAGCGTGATCCACCGCCGCTCTACTGTGGAAAATTGCCAACCTTTTCCTCCGGAGCCCGGAGGTCGGCCCCCCCCCCCCTCCGAAAATCCCACCCCCCCCTGCTGGACCCCCCCCCCACACCCCTCTCCCCGGGCAAAACCCCCCCTCCCCTAACCCAACCCCCCCCCCCCTCCCTCTCGAAAACCGGGGGGGGGGTCACTACCGGTTCGAACCCCTCCCCCCCCCCCTCCGGATCCGGAAAACCGGGGGGTTCGAACCCCCCCCCCCCCCTCGAAAACCGGAGGGGGGTCACTACTGGTTCGAACCCCCCCCACGCACCGCCAGCAAACGACTCCCGGTCCCTACCACCGTCCGCATCACATCCCCCACTGTTGTTCCCAGCACCACTGTCCTCACCACCACTGTCCCCACTGGTTCCACCACCGTCCCTACTGTCCCCACCAGTGCCCCCACCACTGTCGCACTGTCCCCACTGTCCCCACCACTGTTCCCACCACGGTTCCACTTTCCCCACTCTCTCCACGGCCCCAACCACTGCCCGACTATCCCCACTGTCCCCAGTGTCCCACTGACTCCTCCGCTGTCCCACTGAGCTGTCCCACTGTTCCCACCACTGTCCCCACTGTCCCCACCACTGTCCCCACTGTACCTCTGTCCCATTGTCCCACCGCCGTCCTCGCCACCGCCTTCACCACTGTCCCCACCACCATTGTACCCTCCACTGTCCCACTGTTTCCACCTCATTCCCACTGTCCCCACACCACTGTCCCCACCACCACCGTCCCCACCACTGTCCACTGTCCCCCCTGTTCCCACCATTGTCCCCACCACTGTCCCCACCACTACCGTCCCCACCACTGTCCCACTGTCCCCTGTCCCCACCACTGTCCCGCTGTCCCCTCACCACTGTCCCCACCAACACCGTCCCCACCACTGTCCGCACCCCCACTCGGTTTTCGAGGGGGGGGGGGGTTCGAACCGGCAGTGACCCCCCCCTTTTCATGATGAGCTGGGGGGGGGGGAGGGGTTCGAACCGGCAGTGACCCCCCCGGTTTTCCGGAGGAGGGGGGGGGGGAGGGGTTCGAACCGGTAGTGACCCCCCCCGGTTTTCCGCCAGCAGCGGTAGAACACGCTCTTTCCAATATTCGCCCGCAGGTTCGGCATACTCCTCCCCATCTGGATTGGCGAAGTCCCACTCACAGACTTTCAAGAGGTCGAAACCAAGGCATTGACTCGCGTCAACCAAGGAGCGAAGCTCAGGGCAGCACGAAATCAAATGTTATCGCCTTCCACGTCAGGCATCGCAGCCTGGGCGCACCTCTGAAACCGCTTAACAAACTTGCTAAATTGCTGCAGAACCGACAAAGAGCAAACCACAGGTTGACTCTGCTCGGACTCAGGCGCCCACGCCAAGTGGGACGCGGCGGCACGGCCAACCTCCCCAATTCTCGCAAGGAACGCGCACAGCGCGGCTCAGAGGCAGCGGCCCGCGATCAGCGGTGGCCCGTCGCCTTCTTTTGCGATCCGTTCGCTCTCGCGAGATAGGCGCCATCCCTGCGCTGCTTCTTTCGGACGGGGCCTTCTGTGCTGGCCGCGCAAGCCACGGCCGCATCCCCGTCAGCCGCCCGAGCCGCCGGCCCAGATCCAGGGGGCGGAACGACGCTGAACGTTCGCGACCCTGGAGTCTGCAGCACGTTGGAATTCTGGGCCCTGGGGACGAGGGCACACGCAACGATCTCGCTACAAGGCGGGCGCGCGAAGGTTCCGAACCGCAGCTGGCTGCGCAAAAACTGACGAAGAAGTTCCCGTGCCCCCACGGAGCCTTCCTTAATCGGATCTGCCGCCCTTGTGGTATACGGCAATACTGGTCGCAAATTCTCTCGACTGCCCGCGGCCCCTCGAGGGCCGCGGCACAACCGGAGTTCACCCCGGGGGCCGATTGAAGCTCAAAGCGCTGCGATCGCGCGCACTCAGCCATCTCACCGCAGCACCTTCGAACACCGCCTCACGCGCAGCAGACGCCCCCGGAAAATTAGGGCCCCCCCATGGCAAGGATCCCCCCGAAGCCCCAGCAATGAGTCACCAGTTGCGCGTGCTTCTGGTTCGAAAAGCACTAGAATTTCGGCGCCCTCAGATTCGGGCCCAGACCAGTTCACCGTCTTCATATAATTCAACCTTCCTGAGACGAGGCGGCCCCTAGAGAAAACCCCAAGCCTGCGCTCGCCCTTGCGCGCCATCATCGGCAGAAGAGAGGGCGCCGCCGGGGAAATCCTCCCTGGCGGTGAATTCGCCGCATGGAAACGCCAATCTCCTGTCACGGCGACGGGAAAACCCTGCAGTCGAAACCGAGAACCTACCGCTCGAGGATCTGTAGATTTCTCGGCATTCCGCCTTGGTCA